TTATGACCAAAAAAAGATTTAAAAACGTTGCAATAAAGACGTTTTACCTTAAGTACTGAAGTCATGAACACAGACAGGCCCATTAGAATAAAAATCATCAGCCCTGTAACCCGCTGCTCGCGAATCCCCAAAAACTTGGGTTGTTCCCCTGGAGCAGAACATTCAGATTCAACTTTTAAGCTGTTGACGTGACTTATCGACAAGACCGTTGCAGCCACAAACCACGGAAGCCCCATGACAGAGCACACGCCCAGCATCACGCCAACCATGAGCAAATCAAGGTGGTAGCCGGCTCCTTTCTGAAAGCGGAAATCGACACGAACGTTCGTCAGTCCACACGTTCTTTTAGGTTCAAAGTCTATACCACGTATAAAGAGAAGACATTAAGTTTCACCGCACATCTGTTAACGTTGTAATTATGAAAACACCTCCAACTTGAAGAAATCCACAATACTTGAGACACAAATGTTAAGTTACCTTCAATTTGTGCTCCTTTCTGTTGATGATTACAGCTGTGATTTGCTGATCCATAAAGATGAGAATGGTACAAAGCAGGGCGGGAATAGCAGCTATTAACAAGGTCCACCAAGGGTTCTCTCCCAACGGGCTTATGATCCAGCCCCTATTGGGATCAGTAGGCTGTTAAAAAAAAAAATCAAAAGGTTAAAAGAAAGAAAGGGAAAGGCTCCTCTTCCTGCTGCACAGAATGTCCGCAGCACAGAAGGAGTCTGCTCCAAGAAACGCCAAGGGATTGGGGAGAGCTGGATTAAGCCTTGGGATACATTGTGAACCATCTGCAAAGCAGTCAAGGGAATTCTTTCGTCCCTCGTCCACGCGTCTTAGCCATCCTCCCGTCTGGAGGTGGAGTCTACTTCCCTCCCGCGAACCTGGATAACCTTACAGTTTAACCAGAGAACAAGGCCTAAGTGACACTGTGATTTTTTTTTTTTGAGTTACATTTTATTCGGTGGACACCCCTGAGGCCTCAGCCCAGGATGACAGCCTCTCAGATCGCTCTGAGGGACTGCCCCGAAGAGGTAGGGGAGGAAATAGGATACATAGGAGTTTTACAACAAAAACCAGGTAGCTGGAACATTAAGAGAGTACTTGTTACTGTGTGATTTCTGAGTCCCGACCTCAAGGGACCTTGCTGCTGCTCCTTAACCCCCTGGAAACCCTGTGGCAGCCTGGATGAGCTTTTCCTGAGGAAGAGACACATCGTGCTGAGACAAGGATGGCAGGCAACTGGCCCGGCTCTTCCGGCCCCTGGACTGACATCCCAGATGCGTGAATGGGCCCCCACTGACCCGTCGAGGCAACAAAGACTGCAGCCACATCAGAGATCCCAAACCAAGAGACCAGACCCCTGCCCAGCTAAGCCTCGTCCCAACTGTCAGAATAATGAGCAAAAAAAGGGTTGTTGTTTAAAGGCATTGTATCTGGGGAGGTGTGTCAGGCAGAACAGAGAAGCGAAACAGTGTGTCATTCCAACGTGATTCTACCTATTTCATACAAAGTGAAATCAATTGACCTGCCAGATCAACTCCTAAACTAAACTGCTTTACGGAGCCCACAGACTAGAGATCTTGGCGGGTCAGTGAACTCAGAAGCGGGCCCCAGTATGCTACTTTTCCAAACCACTGACTTGCCAAAACCCCGGCACTTTATCAGATACTAATACAGTTCAATGCTGTAACATAAAATCTGTTTTATAATAAAACAGCTTAAAAGATCACAAGAGAGTTTAGCATCCTTGGAGGATCCTGGATATGCTGACATGCAGTCATGCATGTCATATTAAGTCTTTTTTCTTCATGAAATCATGTGCCAATACAAAAGGGGAGTTTACTGTTTTCAGAGTCAGGTAATTACACTATTCCCACACTCACATACATTAAACGGCTTCATAGGTAATGCTGCACATGAATAAAAGGGTTTTATCTATGCAATGCGTGTATTCTTAACTTCTCCTTAATTCCTTTCCCCAAGTGTACTTTCTGCCCCTTGAAATCAGTTTGCCACTTGAAAGCTAGATAAATAAATGAATAAGAATACATTTAGAAACTAGAATAAAGAAATGGGACCAGGGTTACAGGAAATCACATCAATATAATTCATCTATTTGTAAGACTTGGTAAAAATAGAATGACTTTGATACAGTCACATCTAATGGCCTAAAATCTTTAGTGGCTCAATATCTATGCTTTTAAACAAGGTCTCCAATTTTTTTTTTATTATATTCTCTTAGCAGCAAAAAAAATATATACCCAATGGCTCCATACTTATTTATGTGTTATGTTACTAATGATCACCCAGATAGTAAAAGCCATATAGTAAATATTGTAAAGCTTAATTTTTCTTATTTTTAAATAAAAATATAAATAGATCTAAATAATTTTCAGTGGCTCATTTTCCACCCATGTACTCTACTTTGGAGGCTACTGGCTTTTAAAATAATGTTATTTTTTAATGCCAATGAGAGAGAAAAGACTAAATTTATCTCTATTATATTCCTTATTTTGAATCCCCTTTAAATCTTCTGGTTCCAAAAGAAGTCATAAGATCTGTTAAATGTAAATATAAGCAGAGACACAATACCTGACTATTAAAAATTTCCAGTAACTATTTAAGAGCTACCATCTCCAACTTAGAAGGGAAAAGAATTATCAGATGGTATATTATGCATATGGTATATTGTATACAAAAGAACTATAGTCTAATGAAATCAAAATGTTCATGGATGCGCAAATTAAGTATCATTTTTCTTTTGGAAATAATTTGATTTTCTCTTGTTTCTGCTGGAAAATGTTACACAAAGCTTTCCAATTACTGCCAGATACACCAACCTTCCAGAAATTTTTTACACGTGAGACATACATACAATTTTTCTTTTCAAAACATCAGCTCCTCAGACAGACTACGTGTATTTTAGAAAGAACTACTTACGAGGCAGTCTTACTTTAAAGTAGTTTGATATCCCCAAGTAATAAACAGCTGAGTGTCTCCGTCCTTACCTCGAATTTCTCTGGAACATGAAGTTTAGGAGATGGAACTCCTACAAGGTAGTCAATTGCAACCATGATGACTATGGTGAGAAACACAGCAAAGTCACTGATTGTCGATCGCACCTACGTTAAAGGGATTGTGTTAGCATAAACACAGAGACATTGTGTCCTTTCGAAATGACTAATACCTTTCACAAATTAACACAGGCCACTAGAAAGCATGAATGAGGGTTTTCATTAGTAATAATGTTATCAGTGAAACACACTTATAATTAGTGTTCTTTGCAAAAGGTAAGAAAATACATTTCACAACTACCCTCCCATCTCTCGTGATACTGCCGTCTTCCTACTATTAGCACAGACATGTAACACCCATTTTGCACTATGAATAATTTCTTTATAGCTACTTGACACAAAGCACTAACCTCAAACAGTATCTTCTTGTTTTGAAATAAAGCAAGGAGATGAAAATGAAAAACATGACTATGACCAGAACTTCAAAATTACCCCCGGTAACCCCGGTTACCTTGGTAGGAAAATAGCGCTTGGTCTTAAATTGCTTGAGGAATGAAGACAGAAAAAATGTTGTGAAAAATAAGATGACACACCAGAACAGCACGTCTGGAATATAAGGTCCGTGGAGACTGCAAGCTGACCCTACGAATGTACCGTGAAAGGTTTTACACTCCTGAAAAAAGGGGGAAAAAACAGAAAAACGGGGGCTGAAGGGGATTCTCAGACAGTCGGTAACTTACAAGGGACTTCATTGACTCTTAAGATGCTAGTGGTCATGAGACACACCACTGTTTTATGTTTCACTTAGAAGAAAAACTCCCCGGTCAACGTTAACACACCATCAATTTTAAGACCCATCCTGAGTTCAGAGAGGTCACGGTTTGAGAAATATGTGCATCTTAAACACTGAACTGAGACACAGTATTTTTCAAGTTACTACATCGTGTACGTCTTTCCTTCAACTCCTTATTTCCTTCAGAGAATTATTCAGGATTAAGTCCCCAATATTTGGTTCGCATTCTTGGTCAACAATTTCACTGTCTTTCCTTTACTTCTGAATGAGCTGCTTAAAACAAAAGCAACAGACGGAAAAGGACAGACTCTGCCTTTCTCACAATCCTGAACGAGAGATGGTTATCACACTACATTCAAATCAGTAATAAGAAACTGCATTTGGCTTTTCTGACTTTTTTTTCTGACTTTTTGAAGAGATTAAAGCATGGGGACTGTGAGCAGTAACGTGACCACTGAAATAGTATTTCCACTAACAAAATCAATAATAAAATCAGTAATACAGCGTAATATAATGCAATTATAGAAATATATTGCCTTGATTTTCCTTTGGGGGGACGAATAACTGAAAGGAAACCAGAGATTAACAAAGGCACGTGCAACTAAAGTCCTTTTTTATATATTCTAATGAGATTCATTTTAAAAGCAGAACAACTGAGGTCGAGTAGAAGAAAAAGAGTCAGTTTCCATTACTCTCAATTTCTGTGCTGAGACTAGAAATCCTAAACTTTACAACAAGGATTGTGGAAATATAAACTACAGCTACACAAAAACTTAACATGACCCTGATGGGTATCAAGAAAACATACTGAACAGATCTGTATAATATACTATTACCTGTTCATCATGAGATGAGCTTTCTTTTTTAACAAATCACTTTCACTTGAGCATCCCTATGAACTCCACCTCTTCCATGACAAAAAATGAGTTTTTCAATATAAAACAGTGAAGCGTTACTGGAAGCTGAGATCACCGACACACAGTGCCTTAAACCCGCACTGCCCCAGGGCCGTCTGTGGCGATGAAACGTCCTGCACCTGCGCTGCCCGGTGCAGCAGCCCAGCTTTGTCACCAGAGGGGGCTGAACACTGGGGGCGTGGCTAGTGCAACCGAGAAACTGAACTTTTAATTAACTTTAATTACAGCTAAATAGACACACATGGCCGGCAACGACGTTTCCTGGATAGCGCAGGTGTAAATTATCATTAAAATTTCAGATGCTACCCCTCCAATTTTATATTTAGGAGCTAACTGTCACCCTGGGAGAGAAAAGAATGACCTACGATTACTGAGACGATAGAAAAAGCACCAGAGAAGCTCGGCGGACTTGGTTTTAACTGATACTGCCAGCATCACTGGGCATCTTTACTTCTAAATCTCAACCTGGGAAGTGTCCAAAACAGGTATCTAGGGCCAGGACGACACTTCCCAACAGGAAACAAAAACATCTATGTAACAGTGCTCGGCACACAGCAGGTGCTCACTGTCTGTTTTTCCTTTTTCCTTTCTTTCCTTCAGGGCTTAACTCAGACTAGTCTCTAGGAGGTAAACAGGTTCAATCTGAGCATTCACGATCTTCCAAGTGAGCAGGTCACGGAGCAGACAGGCCGGGAAACAGAGGGCAGGACAAGAGGCAACTGTCAACTCCAGTACCTGCAACCACAGGCCTAAGAACCTGTCAATCTAAGCGGAATTAGAAAGCCGAAGCAGGGAAGGGGAGGGTATATAGCTCAAGCAGTAGTGCGCATGCTTAGCATGTATGAGGTCCTGGGTTCAATTCCGGTACCTCCTCTAAAAAAAACAAACAAATAAACTTAATTACCTCCCCCACCAAAAAAAAAAAAAACCAACAAAAAAAACAAAACCAGAAGCATATTCACATCTCTTTAATAATTACATCTTGGAAGTCAAATACAGTCCATCTTGATCTCTTCACCAGCTTCACTCTTTTCAGCCTATACATTTTAGTACATGGTAAACAAACATGTGTAACTCCTGTGTGGTCCACACAACACCATATTCTGAAAACATACTACATCCGTCCATCAGAAAGAAAATATAGGTTTGCTCAGGAAAAGCCAGAGAAGTAGACGACTGTCTGCCCCTCCCCTCCCTCTGTACTCACAGAGACGGTGAGGTTCCCCCAGGGAATGTCGCGTGCCGTGACGTTCCTCTCCTCCCACACCTTCAGAGTTTCATTGCCAGGGTTAGGAGGCTCCACACAGACACATCTGAGAAATGAGAATTGGATAAAGTTTTAACAATTCTGCATTAAAATGTTTATACTTTATTAAATCCATCACACAGTGTGGTAGCTTCTAACTTACGTCCCACTTTGCAGAGCATGGAGGCTAAAAAGTGAAAACACAGCAGGAAACAATGGAATGGAATAAAGTTTGGCTTCTATAAACAAAACAAAACTAACAGAAACACCGATAAAATGTTTACTTAACGAAGCTGGTTAAATATATCCCTTGGGGGAGTACTTTTTTAAAAAAAAAAATCGGAGAAGACACCACCACGTTTAACAAGGTCGGTGTCCACTAAATCTTTCCCACTTAGGACCAGAGAAGCCGCTGCCACACCCCCGTCCGCACACACACACAACGCGCACTGGTTCCCACCATGAGTTATACTCAGTTAAGTCTAGCCCTGTCTATACACGCTCATCCTAAGGTTCATTCTTAAAGCGGTAAGTAAAGCCTAGTTTTTCAGGACAGGACTAGGAGAGTCGAGGCACTCAAGAGTCCAGTTCACATCCAGAACCATCTCACCTGCACAAAAGAGCTAGAAACGTACATATAAGCAAAGAAATCTCTAAATGTGCATTTGAAAAATGAAAAGAAGAAACAAAGAGGAATACCCTCAATTGAATTACGAGCTGTTTGAGAAAAGACAGGAGGCTGGACTTTGGATTCAACCGAGGCTCTGTCATTTAGCAGCTGCTTGACCTTACAAGCCTCCGTTCCTTCGTACCCAAGTGGGGATCTGATATCAATGACTAATGCTATCACATGAACCACGTGGCACTCCTAACACAGTGCCTGCGGGGCTCACAGAACATCCATGTAATCACTCAGCTAATCAGAAGGAAACACTGCTCTAACTGCCTGGCACTAGCTATAAAAACCATGCTTCTTAAAAGTCAAAGGTGCAGGGAAAGAGAGAAGACAAAAAATTAACTAGTTTAAGAGCAAAGGAGATAATATAAGACTGATCTGGCATCAAGGTGGCACTGTATTTTCAAATAGGTCAATGTTTCCTATCCCTCCCTGCTCTGTCCATCAAAGTTGAGAGGAAGGCAAGGAGAGGAAGGAGGAGAAGCAGGAAGGGAGGGGAGGGGCCAGGGACTCGGGGTTACGTGGTGGAAGGGGGGTTTTGGTAACCACATTTCACCACGGAGGTTATTCAAACGCAGGATCAGATTTACACCAGGCATGCTGAAGACAGCAAATACAGCCATCTACCTAGACATGTCTAACTTTAATAACCTTTTTGATATTTAAATGTATTTGCCAACCCTTTGTAAACATTATAATTACTCTTCAAATCCAATTTTATTCGAGGCTCTTAAATTATTTTCATTTCATGCTTTCCTTATCAGAAAGAAAACAACGCACTAAACAGCATACAACAGTGTCCTGATACTCTACTTTGAAATAACTTCCAATAAAAATGATCAGGCTTCCAAAAGGTGAATGAAAAGGCAAAACATGAGGAATATGTAAATATATGGTGGTTAGCAGCCAAACAACTGAATTTCAATTGGCTAATCCGATTCAAAAGTAAGACCAAAAATACGCGTACTTAAATAGTTTGTTCTGGTGAATAAAAATGACTGAATTCGACTGGATTTATGTCCAGTGAGTGCTCTGATAGCTCTCATCTGTAACAGAGAAGTCAACCTCTGTGTGGCTGGCTGGGTAGTCAGAGCCAGGTACACGGCGGGCATCACACTGCAAAACAAATCTATTTTCTTTTGCTCAGGTATCTCCGTGAAAAACACACTTTAATGTTAGGGAAGACAGAAACACTTACGAGTAGCTGGTCAGTTCATCTAAATTGTTGTTCATATTAAATGCATATATTTCTCCTAAATGAAAGAGCTTCTCCAAAGCCTCGTAGATGAATATGATGCAAATGAGGGCTGCGAAGGCCTCCTCTGTGAAGCGGGTGATGTAACACACAAGGCTGCTCGCATCTGTCGCAACCAAAACGATGCACAGAAAAGAAGTCCACAGACCGATACTGGTTCTCAGGGACAGATAGGAAAGGTGATAATCTCTGTTTAGAGACAGAAAGGTGGACGTGATCAGCATACACTGCCAAATGGTGCTGGTACTTAAAATTTTCATAACGAGCTTCCTGTTAGTAGACTTCATGGTTATATTTTACTTCTGTAAGAGATTTTCAGTGAAAAATTTACTAAGCAATAAATAGTTCAAAAACAAAGACCTCACTTCAGCAATCAGTTATCAGCAGAAAATGACAGATAAGCAGCCCGCGGAACAAGTGGAACCAGACGCCCCCATGTCAACATGGTGACCTGCCCCACCGGCCGTGCCTTCACCACTAGCATCACCATAGGCAGTGACTTCATTTTCCAGTTCAACCTCGAACAGGAAATCACCACCATGGAGCCTAAAACGCTTCGAGCCACTGCATTCTCTGTTCATCTGCGTATTGTGCCAGGTTGGAGTCAGAATCAGCGTGTTCGGTAAAGAAGGGATCCCAACGGGAGGAGTTAGAGGACTCACACATTTAGGAGCATCGGGCTGCTTCAGGCTAAAGTTCTCAACTGCATCTGTCTCACGGAAGGAACGGCCCTGCCCCGTCCGACTCCGCGGCTCCTCGCTGCAGTGGCTGCCCTGAGTCCCACACTGCGAGCAGCCCCCAACCCCGGGGAAACCGACACGACCTTCTGGCTGCTGCCTGACTCGCACCTCTTCCTGAACTTCCCTCATGGGACCAACATAGCATCTAAGGAACAACTGAGATTAACACCTTCTTACTGGGTTGAAATTTGCTAATAACACAAGGGGTTTTTACTGCTCCTCAAGTGATTAGCTTATCAGCAGTCAGGTCCTTTGACTTTACACTCAAGGTGGCTAGGGCAGGGCTGACAGCAGGGCCAGAGTGGGCCTGACCACACAGCAGCCCAGAAATATTGAAAATGTGTACACTGATCAGATCCTCTTTTCCGGCTGTTAAATAAATAATGCACTTTTAAGTAAAGTTAATAAACAACAATGTATAACTATACACGTAAGTAAACACATGTGACAAGTAGATCATTACATACCTGCAGAACTTAAATAAAATTTTTTCAAACACTAAAACAGGACCTGTGCTCCCCAATATTGTTAGAGGTTGCCCAGCAAACAGCGAATAGGCAATCCCAGTTAACGATGCTCCAAAAAGAGACTCTATTGCACTCTGTTTAAGGAAAAAAGAAACGAATAAAAGTAATGCATCATAAACACGTCTCTAACCCACTGTAACACACATTAGACATCTGGAAAATAAAAACATTGATCAAGTAGTTAAAAACATAAAGCAAACACAGCTTTGCGTCTCAGATCTAAATTATAAATATGGAAAATGATAAATATACTTAAATACATAGGGAAAATTGTTTTCGTTTAGTCCATTTTAAAGGTGAACTTTTACAGTCAACAATGATTTAATATTCAGTGCTGTGGGAGGCAGGGGGGAGGGGTAAGTGAAAGAGGGACAGAGAGGCTCCAACCTGATTTATACATTTTATTTCTTAAGCCTGTGGTGAGTACAAAGAGGCATACGTTATTTTGAATTTTTTTACATGTCTGAAATAGTTCATTTAAGAAAATAAAAAACATTAAATACTCGATGTGGTGTGCTACCAAAAGAGATTCCTTCAAACAGAAAAATTAAAAAGGAGCATAAGAGGGGAAGAGGGTGGGAAGAGAGAAACTGGGAGTTTGAGATTTGCAGATACTAACATATATAAAATAGATAAACAAGTTCATACTGTATAGCACAGGGAACTACGTTCAGTGTCTTGAGGTGACTTGTGGTGAATGAGAACATGAAAACGAATATACGTATGTGCCTGAATGACTGAAGCACTGTGCTGTGCACCAGAAATGGACGCAACATTGTAAACTGACTAGACTTCAACAAATACATACATATGAGAAAAAAACCTAGCACAAGATCCTATCGCTCTCAAATTGATTTCTAAAATGCAATTTCCCCACACTTTGAAGAAATTAATCTCATCTGAAGGCTTAACCAATAAATATCAAAACTGAAATGCTTAATATAGATAAACAGATGTTTTTAAATCTCGTTAAAAAATTCATGGCAACCATAAATGAGGAAATATTATTAAGTTTGGTAAGAAAGAGACAAAATGAAAGAATCGGAGAAATCTTACATCAAAGCTAGGAGACTGATTTTGTTTCACCAACATTACAATCTAACTGATTAGGTCAGTGGTGGGTAAGGCCTACAGGATACGCCACAAGACAGAGAGGGGAGGGGATCGGAAAGGAAAGGAAAGAAAGGTTTGCCGGCTCGCACACATCGCGGTCCCCGGGAAAGCACGGCTAAGACAGGAAGAGCCTCCGACCAGCAAAGGCAAGGAAGTGAAGCCTGTGCGAAACTCCCTCCTGGAACCGGGAGGCAGCGGGCAGCAGGCCCCGAGCAGGGCTGCCGTGGAAGACTGGTCCCCACTGGGCGCTCAGCCTCGGCCGCATCTCACACTTGTGCAGCCAGCTTCGCTCACTGGTCAGTGGGGGTGCCGACAGCCAGGAGGACCTAAGGAAGCGGTGCTCCAGGAAACTCCCAGCGAGCACGCTGGCTGGCGCGTGGAACGCACTCAGTAAATGGGAGCAGTTCTCATCATCGGTAAACACAGCCTCTTCCAAAATCAAAACTACAACATGAAAATAGTGTGTAGTAAGCAGATCCTGACCTATTAGTATTAAAAGAGGATCAAACCTGGGAGAAGGGTATAGCTCATGTGGTAGAGCGCATGCTTAGCATGCACAGGGTCCTAGGTTCAATCCCCAGTACCTCCTCCAAAAGTAAAGAAATAAATCAACCTAATTACCACCCCCTCAAGATAGAGGCTCAAACCCACATCCAAACCTGACTTTTGGCAAAATAAAGAGAGGTCCTTGTTAACAATATATTTATTAAACTGTATGAGACAGATTTGTTTTCTTGCCCACTGACAAACAACGGTTTGTCTTAGATGACACTGCTATTAATAAAATCCTTAGTTCATTTACCATATGGATATTTAGAAATGAATTTAGGCAGAGCTCCAATCAAAGGGGACAAAAATGTCTAAATGGCAACTAAAAAGAGAATGCAAAAACTTGAGAAGAAAAATAAGGAGATGGCAAGTTGAGAAATGTTAACGAGGCAGGGCGGAGAGAAGGGCGCACAATTGTGGTTTCCCTCCCTGGTGCTGTGTTGAAAAAGCAGAAAAGTGCCAGATGAAGACCTTTCTTTGACCACTTCACCAACCCCTTATGGCCACATTTACTAGTTCCTTTACCCAGATCTATTTTTCCCCCAGTTTTTAAACTGTTTCTATGTTCATTCTCAAACGGAAACATGTCTTTCCGCAAAGGAACCACAGCCGCACTGCACTGCCTTCCCTAACCCACCTTTACCCATCAGGGGCTCGGCACTGAGTACCCCTTGCTCCTCTAAACTTCTGTCCTGCTTTTTGCAAAATGACATCACCCTGACTCCTCTTTCTGACCTCTGCCTGCGCCCAGGTCTAATCTGCTAGACCATTTTCCTCCTCATTCTCACCTTTCCTCTGTTCCATGAATGGGGGCAACTTTCCACTTCTGTCCTTTCCTTTTCTCCCGATGAACTATCTCCCTTGTTCAAACCTCCTCTATTCTCAGTTTCAACCCTCACTGGTCCATGGAACATTTCCATTCTTTGTATTTCCTCCTTACCAGTCTACAGGTGGCACCTAACGCCGCCATTTCTGCTCAAGTTCCAATAAAGCATCTGAAAATAAACACATCCCCTCCATACCACCTCCCTCCACAATGTTTCTGATTTTTCTACATCTATTATTTCAACTCCTACAGCTCTTCCTTTCTCTCACTCATATGTGGCCCCAGACACCGTGACTGCATGTATACTATCTCACCTTTTCCTCTTAGGTTAGGACCATGAGGATGGAAGAGACAAGCCCGTGTCTAGCCCTTGTCTAATGTTCCTCCAGTACGTAAAGCTCTGCTGGTGCACGTGGCATTAGCCAGCAGGATGAGACGGGCAGTGAGTGATGACAGCCCAAGAGGAAAGATGTATTCACACGGTGGTAACAGGTAAGGCAAGTCTCCTCAGGGACCAGCAGAGTCACAGGTACAACAAGGGACAGGACTTAAAGCAACTTACTAAAAGCACATATCATCGATACAAGGATGACAGATTAAGGCAAAGAATGTCAATAATCAAAAATAAAGTAAGTTGAAAGGAAATTTCAGATGTCAGTTTATCTCATGTTCAGCTTACGAAATACTTTATTTGAACAATGGTTACTACCTAGGTTTGGCTGGTTTTGAAAAATAAATTTTCTACTAAGTGTCAATATCATTAAACAATAGAAATAAATTCTCTACAAAGAGTCAATGTCATTAAACAATAAAAATAAAATTTCTACAAAGAGTAAACATCATTAAACAAAATACACTTGAGAATCACAAATCATCTCATTTAAATGCCACTAAAATGCGTATAAAAAACAACAAAAAAGCCTCCAAATTTTACAAAGCACTGGAGACTCTGTTCGGTGATTACGCCTCCCCCGGGCCCTAATGCAGAACCACCAAGAAGAAATAAACATTAAAATTTCATTTTAGTCATATCACAATACAGATGCAGTTTTCAGTTGTATCTTCCAATTAACGCTTTCGCAACTTTCACACAAATTTAGTAACAGCACAATTAGGGTAAACACCACTTCAGAAATCCACCATTTGTCCACAATTATGCTCCCCTCTTCCAAAAGTCCAGCCCAGTGGACCTGCCAGGGCTGCTGAGTTAATGTCAATGACAAGGCTCTGACAATACTATGACACCTGAAAGGGTACAAAGTCGTCCCACTGATACATTCTCCCTCCCATGACCCACCCAGAATCAGTTCACATGGTCCGTCCTCCCCCTCCCCCAAAGATAATACAAGTTTTTACTCAATTTATAAAACCATTCATCCAGCAAGCCATAGCAAACTTTTTTTCTTTCTTTCTTTCTTTTTTTTTCTTTTTTCTTTTTTTTTTTTTTACCTCAACTGTGCATCTTCTCCTGTTCAAATGGCTTCCCCATGTTTCCCATAGCAATTAGCTTCGGGGGAAGTCTGCTTTGGGACAGGTTAATCATGCTGGGGGTGGATTCTTGGAATAAAAGAATGCAGAGCGAGACAAATGCACACAGACACTTGCCTCTGAAGAGCTAAGCGCCTGGCCACTACCAATCTTTGTACTCACTATTCTGCCTTCTGTAGCTTCTCCAAGCAGCCCTCCAAAAGTGATTACAGGAGACATACAGGCACAGTATAGGAAAAGAATCGAGGCCAGGCACTGCAGACTTAATGCATCCTTGAAGTCACTCAAGAAAAAAGGTGCTTTCCTTTTGATGTCAAGTATCAAACCACCAAAAAGCCTAAATAGGTGAGATGAAACTCGTCAAACTGTACACTAGAGGATTCTGGCAGGTTCACACTAAAACTATGGGCTACATAAAACCGCTGGTGTCTAGTGTTTTGCCAACAAAAATTAATATTCTATGTAAATAATGGTATAAATTATAGAAGATACACTCATTTAATCTAATCCACTCGTAGTGGAAAGGTAAATCTCATTAAGTTAAAAGAAACACAAACATCTGTATCTTACGGACTATATACTGAAAAAACTGCAGGCAAATGATTTTATATGAGTAAATGTAATTTCAAACACAAATGTGCAAGGAAATGTACAATCAAAATAAACAAAACTTAACAGCCC